CTTCAAGTTTGTGACTGGGATGCCGAGGATCACAAACAAGGTGTGAATAACCATGCAAATTAGTTTGGTACACTTAATGTTACAGATCACCAAATCAATGTGCCGGTTAACCAAACACGCTCCATTGATCTATGATTAACATCAAGCTACCCTTTGCCACACACTGTCAGTTCCAGATTAGTGTGTCGGTTAACCACAAGCGCTCCACTAACGACTTAACAAGGTGCAAAGTGCAATTTCATGGGGGTAACACCAAATTCACATTTTTCCTAAGTAACTAAGATTGAGAATTTATAAGTGTTTAGTTACTTGGTATTTTCATTATACTTTTAATGAGAATTAATGTCCTATCCTACCCGTTCGGCTAACGACCCTCCACCAGTCAAGGAAGCGGTGGGTGAGAGTGAACACCCATTAAACCGCCATTTTATAGACAGTAACCTTATACCCCCCTTATAGACCGGCTTCGTGAATGAGGCCTACTAACGGTAAGACCGACTTTTTACTTATACACATAATATATTAAACTTTTAATATTATAATAGTATAAGGGTGTATTTTAAAATTTTAAAATAGTAAGTGGTTTAATCTATTAATTAAACTATACTCTTAATTTAATTAAACTTAAACCATGTTATTATGGAATTATTAATTCTCTTTTAATTAACAACTTTAATTAACTATTAATAAAGTCCATAAAGATGTAATACGAATTATTCAAAAACATCAAGATGCTAAAACAAAATTAAAACTATTTAAATTATTATTAAGTTATGAACCCATGAGTTATACTTTTGAAAACTTTTCAAATAACTTTAGTTTTAGAATTCAATATCTCATAAAAAAAAACTTTTCAAATTCCAAAACTTGAGGGCAAGTTTTGTAACTCTTGAAAACTTTTAGAATTCCATAAAAGAGACTTTCCAAGTTCCATAACTTGAGGGCAAGTTATAAAACTCTTCAAAACCATTTATAACAAATTTTGTAACCTTTGAAGACTCTTGGAATTCATAACTTAAAGAGTTAATGAATGAGACTTTTCATATCCATAACTTATGGAAGTTTCAAAACTCTTAAGATCATAACTTTTAAAAAAGACTTTTGAGTTCCAAAATTTTATTACAAAATTTGTAACTCCTTAAAAACATTTAGATCAAACTTTTAAAACAAATAAAATAATCATATCATTCTATCTTTTAATAAATTGACCTAATTCAACTTTTGTAGTAAAATGACTCAAATTTACAAATAATTAGTTTTTCATAAAATCAAGAAATTATCTCAAAATTTGACAAACTTCATGTTTTTTTCTTTCAACTTTGAAAATCAAACATTTGCATCAATATAACAGAAAACAACTCATGGCTCTGATACCACTGTTGGGTTTTGTATACTACAACATCCTATGGTGCACATACAACCCTAAATGTTTTGGATCTATGTTTTCTCTAATTATACATGCAATATTGTTCCAAAGCATTAAGCCTACAACTAACATGCAATTGACATAAACAACAAAAATACTAGTTAGGAGTTTACATCTTTATGTAGCTTGTAGAACTTGTTGTATTTGGCCTTTAAGAACTTAGTGCCCCAAATGTTGCACCTTAAATGGTTCACAACATACCTTAGACAAAGGATGACTTTTGAGAGAGTTTATGCACACTAAAATAGGTTATGGCTCTCCAAGAACACTCTAGCAAAACTTATCCAACAAATTTTAGGCTATAGGGTGTCATATATATAGTGTAGGAATCCAAGAGTCATGGGTAAACCCTAATCCATACACTTGGGCTTATTATCCATGATCCATGATTCAAGCGGGCTAACTCTTTATGGATTCTTCCATAAACTTAGTCCATCATGTATCATAAGCCCAAAACATATATATATAACTAATTTACACAATTAGTCCCCAGTAATTTAATTAGTCTCTTTTGATCACTAAATTAATTCCAAATTAATTCTTTATCAATACTAATTAAATCATATGATTTCACATTAATATATTAGAACTTATAATATATTAATAAATCATAAATAACCTCTTCTCAAAAGTCCATCCTATCAAATTGTCGTGGTGATATGCAACCCAAATGGACCATGCTACTCTCGGGTCAAGTACATACCAATTATAGTTATGCGCTTAGGCACCTAATCCAACAGATGATTGTCTTCGTGACAATTACCTATATGCATGTGTTTGTTTGATGTCTTTGTGACTCTTATTGTTATGATTATATGTGTTAGTGGTAGGGGTGAAATAGACCCGATACCGGTTGAAAGATACCGAAGGGGTGAAATAGACCCGATACCGGTTGAAAGATACCGAAGGGGTGAAATAGACCCAGTACCGGTTGAAAGATACCGAAGGGGGTGAAATAGACCTAGTACCGTTTGAAAGATACCGAAAGGGGTGAAATAGACCCAGTATGTTTTTGACTGTTATATATGTATGGTATGAGGTATTTTGGGGGAACTCACTAAGCTTTGTGCTTACTATTTTCAGTTTATGTTTTAGGTACTTCCAGATCGAAAGGGAGGAGCCCGGTCTGATTGCACTGTATCCACCTATGTTTTTCCGCACCACGTGATTTTGGGATTTTGTACTTTGATAACATTTACTATGATATAGTCCTGACTTTTTTGATATGATTATCGTATGTTTGGAATGAATTTAAAATGAAAATTTTATCTAAAATTTGGATGTTACACATTGGGCCTAGCCCTTCCTGATCCATGGGCCCAGCCCAACATACAAATAGGCCTACCCCGTCATACAGCGGGCCTAGCCCGTCATACAATGGGCCTAGCCCAACATACCATGCAAGAGTCACAAAGACAACTAGCATAACAAATCCTAGTGGATTGGCAAGAAAATGACCTAAACTTATGCACAATTCACTAGTCACCACCAAACTTCAAATCCATAAAATATGATGCTCAAGGGACACTAGAGAGAAATAAAGTTGCCAACTTTGTTCCATCTATTCACTCAATCAACTCAATGAACCAAAAAGGGACCAAAACAACTTAGATCTAAGAGAATAACTCAAAAGATAGAGACTTGAATCCTTACAAATGGTCCAGAAGGTGATAACCAAGATGATAAAGTGTGGCTTGCTTGATCCTTGCACCAATTCTTCCTCACTTCCTTCCTAAATGTACCAAAACCACCAAGAGGGAAAGGATTAGGGTTTATCTGAGGTTGGGGGATAAAGGCTGAGAAATGAACCCTAGAACCAAGATAGAGAGGCTTAAATACGAAGGGAACATTAAAAGAGTCATGGGATTGGGCCTGATCAGTTGCCACGCCGTGGCTTTCCTTGGCCACGCCGTGGTGGGTCAATAAAATACGCGTGCCACTTATACAATTCCACGCCGTGGGCATCCTTACTCCACGCCGTGGCACAAAGTTTTTCCAAAAAACTCCATCTTTATCCCTAGAGAATAAAAACTAAACCATACTGGAACACGGGTGTTACATACGAGGATACTCCAATTTCAAAAAAAAATCGATTATAAGACAACTGCAGGAAGATTTCGGTGAAGTGCGTAAAGAGTAGAGAAGAAGAATCATTTTGGGGCTTTTGGTGAAGTCTTTATGAGGGATTTTCTTCAGATTTAAGAGAAGGTAGATAAAATCATCAACATCGTCGGAAGTATAATATTTCTGACCGAATTTTTATTGCCTTTTTCATTTAAGCAAAAAGATTAGAGCTTTCCAGATATGCCGGTGGTGGTGACGTATAGAGAATGTTCCGATTTTCAGATCTATGAGTTTGTTTCTGATTTGGGATTTACTTGCAGTTTCAAGTTATGTAATGATTTTTTTTTCAATTTAAATTTTGATCAAGATCCCAAATTACCTAATGAACGATTGGTTGTGGTTATTGATTCATATGTTGCTATTATAGTTGTGATTTGGATTTGGTAGTTATGTTGACTTTGGTAGAATCCGTCATTTTGCCTATTCATGGTGGTTGTGGTGGTTGACGGTGGTGCATGGTGGTTGACAGTGATGGTTCTAGGTGGTCTTTAATGAATGTTCTTCGGGAATAACTTTAATATTCTTCAAATGTTCTTAATTCTAATATTTACAAAATTACATGGTAATAACTGATTTTGTAAGAATTTTAAAACCTAATAATAATAATAGAATATCCATCTCAAGGCCACATAGACAAATATTAATGACTAAAACGTCACGTGGGATGTCATAACTCTTTATGACCGGTAATTACAAATCAATGTCTCTTTAACAGGTAAAAATAGATTTTATGCCCCTAAAATACCAAAAAAAAAAAACATGAAATACCATTTAAAACAGAATGGTGATGTTTGGTTGAGCTACAATGCCATTAACCCTTCCTATAAAGTATCAATTAACATTTTTTGTTTTGTTTTGTTTATTTATTATTTTTTTGTTTTTGTTTTTGTTTGTTTTACAAATAGATACTTTTTCTTCGATCTTAGATTGATCTTCTTAACATTATTCCTTCCTTCTTCCTTTAGATAATCGGCATCTTTTCTATGTCCATGAGAAAAAAAAATGTAGGATTGTTGCCTAGAAAAAAAAATGTAGGATTGTTGCCTAGATCTTTTCATGTCCATAAGAAAAAAGAACGGAACACCACAGCCAATAAAACTTGCTTCTCTCTCTATTTCTCTCTATCTCTCTTTACCTTTCTCCACTTCTCTCTACAATTTAATTAATTAAAATATATATTTTTTATTTTAATAATCAAAAAATAAAAGGGATATAGTGGTGAGTATCCCAAGTTTTTAGTGGTAGTTGGTGGTGATGATGTGACACCCACCACTATAATGGTTAGTGGTGGGTATAATGGATGACCTTATCTCATCAACGTTTTATACATTCTGGTTTTCACTATTTCGTTTTTTTGTACTTCCTGTTTTTTGCATTATGTACTCACAAAAACTTTTCCTTATCTTTACATTGAAAAAAAATCAATTTAAATCAAAGAAGCAAACCACCGGTTTAAGTTATAAAATCGGTCCAATTTTAAAGTTGAAATAATTGCTGGTGTAGTTATTGCATGTTGGCAATTAGAGATGATATTTCTCTATAAATAAAATAGAAGTCTCGAAGTACACACATCTACTCCAACCTTCTCCTCTTCCACAAAATTCATCAATGGCTACAACTCCAGGATTTCTCACTGACTGGCCTTGGAAACCACTTAGAAGTTACAAGGTACAACCGTCCATATTTGGTTTTTGGGTTTGTTTAATATGACACTGTGTTTGTAACTATTAATCTTCAATAAAAATATTATTTCGATGTTTAAATATAATTCTTTTTTCCACTTTTGTTTGAAATATAACATTTAGAAAAGAGATTTGGAAAGAATATATAAAAACCACTATATTCTATTTTAGAATTTCATAATGTAAGTTATCCAAGTTTAATATTTTTTTTTATGTCATTTTGACATGCTATGATCTGTTATAACAAGTTAAAGTGGTTATAATAGATTTTTTCTCCAAATTTAATTGCTTTAATGGAACATATTGTCAAAATTTAGGGTAAAAGTTTCAACTGAAACTCTTAAATTTGACAAAAAAAAAAACATAATATTGTGACATCTTGCAGTTGCTAGAGCAGGTTGGCAAATCAAAAGTGAACATATTAGAAAAAATATAAACTTAGATGGCTTTTCTTAACATCAAATTTAAACTATAAAAATAGCTAATATATTATTGATTTATTGTAATTTGTCCAAGCAACTAAGGCAACTCTGTTCAACTATTCAAATAATTTTGCCAACTATTTTTCTGGAAAGCTTGTTTCTTATTCCAAGTTTATATATATTTTTAACTAAATCACAATAGTTATGGAATTATAAATAAAATATTAAATGTTCAATTTGATGGACAGAAGTATACCAACTTCTTCTTCTTCTTTTTTTTTTTCTTTTTTTTTTTTTTGTTTTTTTTTTGTTTTTTTTTGAACAGTAGAAAGTATTATAAAAACTAAAAAATGCCTGTGGGAAGCAGTGGGAAGCTGGACAAAGTACAACACTGTCCAGATTACAAGAAAACAAAAGGCCAACAGAACTAAAAACGTTAAATAAAAAAATGAGATAATACCAGCAAACAAAAACAACACCAAGGTTAAACTTTTGAAGAACATTAAACTTAGACGAGCATCAAACTTTGAAGCTAACATTTAGAATAACATCCCAGAAGTACTCTAACTTCTGGGGAACACTTTCTTGTTTTTTCGTTAATATTTACATATAAAGGTAAATATGTTTAAAATTACGTATTTATATTTATGTTACAAAATAATAATTACATTTAATTGATAAACAAAAAACATTAAATTTATGTGAAAGCAAGAAATTTTGATTACAGTGTTTGAAGTTAAAACATAGTTTCATATTTTCGTTAATATATTAATGGCTCCAATAGTTACTAGCTTTGCTAAACTATCTCTCATCTCTCATGCATCAAATATAATTGAAACTGGATGATGCTAAATGGATCCTTTTTGAAGTAATATATGTGTTGGTCCCACATTATATTATATGTTGTGGGAATATATATGTTGGGAAAATGGATGCATTTAAGATCATAATAAAATTTTCAAAAAACATACTTTGCTAATATGAAACAATTTCTCATGTATTATTAATTATCATCATGTAGTTCAAAGTTTGGATGAATTCTTATCCAAAATATAAGGTTGAGGTGACACAATTCATAAGATATAAGTATATTATTTTCTTCGGCTAGAAATCTCTTTTCTATTTTCGTAATTGATGGTTATGGGTCCATTATATATATATATATATATATATATATATATATATATATATATATATATATATATATATATATATATATATTATTATGAGGCCATAAATTTTTTATGAGACATAAAGAGGTAACTTAAAATACTTATTTTATAAATCAAAAAATTATAAAACAACTAGAATAATGACAAAATTGACAAAAAAAAACTAAAAAAAATAATTTTTATTAATTTCTAATGTTTTTTCCAAAAAAATAAAAATACAATTAAAAATACATTTAGAAAATAAAAAAAAAATCTACGTGCAAATATTCCAACCATAAATTTGTTCATGAATTTTTTCTTAATAATTGTATGTTCAATAAATTTGTTCATGATAATTTTGTAAAAATAACTATATATGTAATATATTCTATTAGAATATTCTAAAAGATTCTAAAAAGTCTATAATGTAATATTCCCGTAGAATAATACGCATACATACGAAATATGAGTAATATGCACGTAAAAATTACAAATTTTCGTTTATTTGGCATTTTAAAATATGTTTATTGACACCCCATATATATATATATATATATATATATATATATATATATATATATATATATCCTACCTAATAAATGAAAATAATTTTGCCACATTTCATTTTTTCATTCATTATGTCACATGTCATTTTGTCAAAATTTTGAGATAATTTATGTTCCACTTGTCATTTATTTCATTATTCATTTTTGAATATATCATTAATTTAGTTTCTATAAATTAAAAATACCATAATAACTATATTAATTTCGAATTTCAAACTTCAATTTCAATTTTAAATAAATTTACAGTTGAAAACTTTGTATTTAACATTTTGTTATAATTAGCACATTTAGTACACGAGTCTGACAACTAAACACATAATTTTAATTTATTTTTTTCATGTTTTTTTTATTTTTAATATTTCATAATTTTTACTTATTTCAAATTTCATATTCACATAAACTTGCCGTTTAATCATTTTTATTTAATATTTTGTTTTAATCAACTTGTATAGTATATATGTATCACAAATTATATATATATATATATATATATATATATATATATATATATATATATATATATATATATATATATATATTTGCCGACAAGAAAAAATGGCCACCATATATCCTTAAAATTGGCTTTAATTGTGTTTATTTTAAAAGTGGCCCACCATCAATTGTTTGCAAGGATTGCAACAGTTGAAAGAACAAACTGATTTAGCCCTCAAACTTGATCTACATTACAACTTGAAAGAATTGTAAAGCCACTGTTGTGGGGTGGTCTTAGTTTTAACAAATATGTAGTATTTCAACTTAATATAATGTCCAAAAAACTTCACATTATATTGATCTATAAATAATTTTAAATGTAGTCATTGCATTACATCAACAAACCAAAAGCCTTAACTTTTACTTTACTAAAGCTGTTTTCACAAACTTATTTTACGAGTCATATCAAAAAATAAAAAATCAATATTAATTTATTGAGTAAATAAAGAAAATAATATAAAAATACTAAACAGCTCTTTCTCTTAAACTTGAAAATTAACAAACAATTTGAAGATATTTTGAAATAAAAAAACTTATATAATAACTTTTTGTGATTTTACGTAGTTTTTTTTAACCGAATAAACTTAATTAAAAAAAAAAAACCTTGTATTGTTAATGTGAGATTAGTATATTTGGTAGAGGTTTTGTCTCTTAGATTAAAAGTTTCGAGTTTTAATCTGAACATTAGCGAATTCTACTAACTTGGTGATATTAACTTTTAACTAATAACCAGTCGTTCAAAAAAAAACTCTCATATTGTAATGTTCTAAGTTCGGTCTTATATTAGTTTATTTTCAATCTAGGCAAGTTTCAACTCTTTGAATTTATTAAGTAAGATGTTTGTAAATATTCATGGGTACATATATGTGAGTTTTCTGTTTTTGATTCCCAACAATGAATTCTTTTTTATTATGGCATAAATACATGTATCTTGTTAACAATGAGTTTTCTTTTTACTATTGAGCACTAGTTTTAATCTTTTTATTGGTTTCCTATGGATTTTTCTCTTTTTTCACTTCACCGGTTACATGGTGTTTTTAGTTGTTCAGTCAAAATCCGGTTTCCAACATTTTGAATCAAAGCGAACCAATTTCAATAAAACTAGTTTTCAAACAAATCAAGTTTAGATCGATTAAATCCTCATGCACATCGGATAACCAAACAGGTTTACATCAAATATACTTGGTATGATATTGGTATCAAATTCTTTTTTACCAATTACCGGTACATGGTTTGGGTAAAAAAAATTTCTTCGTATCGTATCATATTCACCATAGGAGATATAACCTTATTTTGGTTTCTGTTTCCAGAAAAACATACATACTTGTATCTGTGTCATTCTATTCCCATCAAGTATATTTGTTTATACTGTTATACATTATGACTATATATATGTGTGTGATCATTACATAATATTTTTTGTTCTAATTTTATTATTTTTGTTGGATGATGTCAAAGTATGTGGTATGGGCACCATGGGTGGTGAAGAGTACATATGATTTCATCACATCGGATGCAAAAGATAGAGATTATGGCCTTATGTTGATCTTTCCCTTCATGTTGTTCCGAATGCTCAACAATCAGTTTTGGATTTCACTCTCTCGTTACAAAACCGCCAAAGGCAAAAACAGAATTGTTGACAAGACCATTGAGTTTGACCAAGTCGACCGTGAAAGAGATTGGCATGCTCTCTCTCTCTCTCTCTCTCTCTCTCTCTCTATATATATATATATATATATATATATATATATATATATATATATTTCCGTTTAGAGAAAATTAAATAGATATCGTTAGAGAATACATCGTGAAGTTATGAGTTACACTTGTTACTATAAGTTTTTGATGAGTTCCCTAATGATTACACCAATGGATCGAAAAACAATGTGCAAGTTATCAATTTGCCCTTCTAATTGCCTTGAGATTCTACGGATTCACCATGATATACACCATGTAGTGTCGACAGGTTCTATGGTCTATCCCGCCTTTAAAATGCAATAAAAGTATAAAACCACTTATTCCTTAAGAAAACAAAAGCAATAAAGTAAAAATGCCAAAAATACCTTTTTAACACATATTCTGTGTTGCTACAAAAGCTTGGAGATAGGGTCAACAGTGGAAAACCAAATCAATTGTGAATTAATTAAAATTTCACTTTTTCTTGCAGGGATGATCAAATAATATTCAACGGGTTATTGTACTATATCGGATTTTATTCATTAGATGAATCCAAACAATTGCCTCTTTGGAGATTAGATGGAGTGATCATTGTAACTTTGCTACACATGGGAGTCGTAGAGTTTCTTTATTATTGGCTACATAGAGCCCTCCACCACCATTACCTCTACAATCGCTATCATTCTCACCATCATTCTTCAATCGTCACCGAACCAATCACATGTAAATCATATCTCTACCATCCTCTTGCATTAGGGGCATTTTTGTCATTTTGCTCACAACTTTAGGAAAAATCGCACCAATAATTCTTAAATAATCACGGGTCCATCACATGCAAATCACTGCCTATTGTTGATGTTTGTCATTTGACTTGCAACATCATAAAATAAGTGTAGTTTCGTCATTTTACTTGCATTGGTACATAAACATAAAGATTTCCTTAATCATATATCCACCCTAATTTACTACCCATGAATGCATCCTCATTTGTTGTCAATGGTCCCCGGATGTAGAATTGTTTTCTTTTAGGTATCTTTATTCACTCACATTAAATTGCTTCATATTTAATGGTCGTAAAGTTTGAAAGAACACCTTAACATGAAAATGTCCAAGTATTAATGCATGAAATACAATTGCTAATACAAATTGGCTTCTTCAATGATGCAGCTGTGATTCATCCATTTGGTGAGCACATTGCCTACTTTATGCTGTTTGCAATACCATTGCTGACCGTGACCCTAACCAAGACTGGGTCCATTGTTGCATTCGCTGGCTATGTTACCTACATTGATGTGATGAACAACATGGGCCATTGCAACTTTGAGCTAATCCCGAAAATAGCCTTCTCAATCTTCCCTCCTCTCAAATACCTGATGTACACCCCTACGTAAGTATATATGCTCTCATGTCCAAATATATTATATTCAGAAATTATTTTTATTTATATAATAATCGAAATATATGGAAATGGTCACCTTATCATGATCACACATATGTATGATATCCAAGTGGTCAAGTGGAGAGCAACATGCATAATGGCATGTACACAACTTGAAGATCTTTCTTAATTTAGTCGATTGTGATAACAAGATTTCCTAGTACTGAAAACAAACTTTTCCAGGAGATGTACTAAAACACCATTTTAATTATATTTTAAAAAATCTTAAATATCTATCTTTTCTCATACATAGTGGAATCTCAACTTCCTTAGGAGATCACGTCATAATAACTTGATAAGTAATTGCCTTATGTGGTCATTTCTTAATAATTGTTTTTATAACAAATAATAACAAATTACTTCCTTTCCATTTTCTGCTTTTTATGGCTTGCGATATGTGTCCCATTTTTTTTAACTTTATTAATTTTCAATCATTTAAGTTAACAGTTATAATAGTTATTTGGCGTTTTATAACAAAAATGTGTTTCCCTTCCTTAATTTGTCTACCGGAGATCCAGGTTTAATTATTCTCTTTTAAAAAAAACTCACAGGTCACAATGAACAGGGTAAAGACAATCCACCCCATTTGACCCTATATTTCAGTCTAGTTCCACCCCAATCAAGATTTTATTTTCATAATTTTTCCCTAAATTTTAATTTTAGTTATGATTTTGGTCTAAGACTGTTTTTTTTTTTTAATTTACAAATCTAACAAATTTTTTTGTACGGTTTTGGCTAAACTTTTATATTTCGTTATGAATTTCGTCTAAATTTTTTTTTTATGTATAAAAATTATATGTTTCTTACAATCCTTTTCTTTTTAGTAATTTTTTACTACTATTTTTGCATATTTTTACAACTTTGTTTTTTTTACATAATCTTTTTACAAAGTTGTATTATTTTTTTTTTTTTACATCTTGGACTTTCTGCATATTTTATTAAAAAGATTCCGTTTTTTTTTAATTCTTTTTTTTCAAGACATCTTCCATTTTTTACATATTCGTTTACATATATTTTGGTTTTTAAAAACATGTAACAGTTTTTTTACATATTAATTTTCATAAATCAGAAATCTATTGTTTTGCGGCATCGCATGCTACATCTAGTTACCTACATAATGTATATCACATTCTCGTAAAGTTTTATTATTTATATCACCAACCTACGAGCTATTTTAATATATATATATATATATATATATATATATATATATATATATATATATATATATATATTTATATTTATTGTTGTTTAGGCGTCAATGCCTCAATGGGGACCATTTTCATAAAAGTTCTGGTATTACAGGGTATATACAAAAACTAACGATTGAAACATTAGTGGTTTGCAAAAGTGTGAATGATACAAGTATTAAAAGAAGATTGATGATACTTCATTTCTGTTGCCATTTGCAAGGCATTTGAAGTGCCCATATAGAAGCCCTTATCAGTCAGGGTTTGTGAAATTGTGGGTGGATAGTGGAAATTCCATAATTTTATTGACATGAGACATGAACAATATTAAATTTTCACTATGACACCCTAGTATAAAAATAAATATATGATATTTGAAAGATAATATGTTTTACGGAGACGATAATTTTGGTGGTTGGATATACGTAGTTGTTTATGCTCATATATATATTTGTTAATAAGACCACTTTTGTCTGTATAGGTATCATTCTTTGCATCATACTCAATTCAGAACCAATTATTCCCTGTTCATGCCATTCTACGACTATGTCTATGGCACACTCGACAAATCTACAGACACATTGTACGAAAAATCACTTAAGCAGGAAGATGAGTCACCAAATGTGGTACATTTAACACATCTAACAACTCCAGAATCCATCTACCACATGAGACTTGGGTTTGCGTCGGTTGCTTCTAAGCCATACACATCTCCCAAATGGTACTTGCTCATGCTATGGCCTGTCACGATGATATCAATGCTAATTACTTGGATTTATGGCAAAACCTTCGTAGTTGAAAGAAATGTTTTTAAAAATCTCATAATGCAAACGTGGGCCATACCAAAATACAAGATACAAGTACGTAGATGTATTTTTTTTAAACTATTTATTCTTTTCTTATTATATATATTTTGAAAGTAAAATGCTCAACTTTCTTGGAATTTCTTTGTAGTATTTCATGGAATGGCACAGAGAGAGTATCAACGAATTGATTGAAAATGCGATACTGGAAGCCGACGTAAAAGGGGCCAAAGTTGTAACTCTAGGTCTACTCAATCAGGTTTTGCTTTTATTTTTATATATTTGAACTTATATATTGTTTTTGAGATTCACATCTAATATAAACTTTTATATGTTTTTCATCTCCAAAATCTTGATTCTTGTATTAAAAGGTTAAATGTATATCATAATATGTATTAATGAGTTGTAAAGTGTGGACAATCACTTCGTGAACTTTATACAGCACCTTATTCATGTTTTTTTTTGGGTGTTTTTCATAAATATATGTTGTTTCAAACTATTTCTAAAAATTCGTAGCTTTTATTACGTGGATTTGATGGAAAACCATTATGACAATCATCCAAATTAAATATATATATGCTTCATCATATGTATTTTGGATGATCCTCAGACTGAAGTTATATGCTTGAGTTATTGATAATATTTATAGGCGGAGGAGTTGAATGGAAGCGGGGAGCTTTTCATAAGGAGAAATCCGAAACTAAAAGTGAAGCTGGTGGATGGTAGTAGCCTAGCAGTTGCTGTGGTTCTCAATAGCATACCCAAAGGCACCACTCAAGTTGTTATTAGGGGCAACTTCAATAAGGTTGCTTATTCCCTTGCCCTAGCTCTATGTCACAAGGGTATTCAGGTAATTTCGCTTTTAATATCATCAACTTTGTTTTTGGTTCAAGTAACTATGTAGTCATGGATTAGTAACTGTTTTTGGGTTCGAATTACACATGCTTTTTTTTTTTTTCAATCTTGGGGCAATGTTAAAAAAACTGTATAGTGAGATTTTATTTTAGGTTCAATTTCAATTTTCTCCTAAAGATTATCTTAATGTTGATTCAACGTGTTGTAGGTTTCAATATCTCGATCCCACAACTATCAACGACTTAAATCAGAGCTTGAATTGTCCGGTGATCAAGATAAATTGATTACTATGAGAAGTTGCTCACAAAAAGTAAGTTGTAATTATTGAGTTTTCAAGTATCTTTTGATTACTAGTAAATGAAATAATAATATTAAATTTGAATTTTGTAAAGATACTATCTTTTAATTACTAATAAATAAAATAATGATATTAAATTTGAATTTTATAAAGGTGTGGTTGGTGGGAGATGGGCTAAGCAAAGAAGAAGAGTTAAAGGCATCAAAGGGAACCCTAATCATCCCTTACTCTCAATTCCCTCCAAAGAGAGTGAACAAAGATTGTTTTTATTATACTACCCCTGCCATGTTGACTCCCAAACATCTTGAGAATGTTGACTCTTGTGAGGTTAGTACAATATATATATATATATATATATATATATATATATATATATATATATATTAATTTATTTACAATCGATCTTGCAACCACAATCATTTGCTTCTTTTTTGTTTTATATGGCTTATTATGATCACTAGTGAATCATATATAATTCAAACTAACGTGTGTCCAACTTAATTGAAATAATAAAATCAAAATGTTGAAAAAATTTGGTGGTCGACATCAACATCTTACAATTGTTCACCACAAGTTTTCAAAGACCTAAAAACATGTTTTTTTTTGTGTGTGTGTATGTGTGTGTGTTATTTATAGGTTGTTTTTTTCATTATTTTTTTCATTTTTATTCTCACACTTTAAATGACCAAAAATTCAAAATATATTTTGATATATGTTCAAAAGATTTTTTTTTGTTAATCATCTCATGATACAATTCACGCCGTTCCAAACATATTTTGGGCCCAGGACGAAAGAAAAAAAAATGGGCCTTTAAAATACACAAATGTTATCAAGTTCTTTATAATAACTCAATAATTGAAAGAAAACTACTTGTACTATATTCTAAATATAACAATTTCCATTAAAAAAATGGGCCCCTTTAAAAGATGGGCCCTGGACGGTCACCCCTATCGCCCAGGGACAGGCCTGATACAATTGTTAATTTATTTATCTAATTAAATGGTATAATGGTGTCCATCTATAATATTTAATGGTGTCCAATAAAAAAATATAATATAATCTCTTAACAAAATTTCCAAATCAAGGGGCATCCATGAACACCCCTTATCTCAATGTAAAATCGCCTTTGCTCATGATACACCAAAACCTCTTCAAAGGGGTCATCGAGCTAAATGAAGTCTTTTGGATTTAGGTTATTATGGTAAACTGATATTTGATTTTTTTTTTCTGGAAGAATTGGTTGCCAAGAAGGGTGATGAGTGCATGGAGAATAGCTGGAATATTACATGGCTTAGAAGGATGGAATGTTAATGAATGTGGGAATGAGATGTTCAACATTGATAAAATTTGGCAAGCAAGTCTTCTACATGGCTTTACTCCTCTGACGACATCATTTAAATAAAACTTGAAACCTATCAGTTTGATGTTTTGAGGGTATTCATTTTTATATTTAAAGCTACTCTTATCTTTGTTAAACATATATACTATTGTTGATAATATGTAATCGGGAAATTTTTATCCTCTAATATTAGTTTTATATATATGTTATGAATTTTGTTAACTTTACTTGGCTATTATATACTGCTATGAATTTACAACCTTCTTTGGTTTTCGTATAGGGCCCACAAATGGTTTGGACCGGCCACATATTATGCAGTTTGATTATTTTAATATAATTGAGTATAACATTTTCTACGCTGAGTATAAAATTTTGACCTTGAAAATTGGGCCGAATATTGAGATAATATATATATATATATAATATATATATATATATATATATATTATATTATATATATATATATAATATATATATAATAATATGTCATTCTGGCCCACAAAACGTTCTTGCAGATGATTTGGTTGATTTCCATGATAGTGTTCAACTCTTGTTAAAAGCAAATTTTGTTAAGTTTACTTAACTTAGGCTATCGGGTATTAATTTTTGGGCCTAATGATAGGAAAGTCTTCATTTTTATCGTCTGTATTTCTGATTCATTAAAGGCTGATATTTGAATTTTTGACCTTTTAATTTTTTATATAGGTTTATTTAGTAAAATCGAATATTTCTACAAACTTGAAGACTTTAATAGAAAGGAAAAAGAAAAAGATAAAACCAAACATTTATACTAAACTTAAAGCTTTAAGGAACCAAAAATTCAAAAAAAAAAGTAAAACTATAACAATTTTTATCAAATTCAAGAGCATTTATTTCATCAGGCCCGTTTATCTATTACATATGAATTTAGAAACTTTTTGGTTTTCTCGGAAGGTCACAAAACATTTGGGCCGGCCACTTGTCATGGAGTTTGACTACTTTAGTTGCCACTCGTAACTTTATTTGTTATACTTAACTATTCTCTGCAATGAGATAAAATTTTGACCTTGACAATTGTGCCACATATGGGATAATATCTTTACTCATTTGGTGAATTCTAGTTTAGTCATTGTTTTGGTTTTCAATTCAAATTCCTAGATCAACATTAGCTTTGTCTAGTCTATTTTAACTACATCTCTCTTTTTAATAACATTATCTGTATGTACTGTGTTTGCCCAGCTCCGTGTTCGCTCTCTTTAATGAATGTTTTATCTTTGCCGTTCAAAAAAAAACTACTTCACAACACAAGTTATATATTTCATAAATGATCGAAATTTAGTATCATTTATGTTGACCAGTGGATCTTCACACGAGTTTTTATTTGTTCGTTAAGAAATTGATAATCGTAAGTTGTAACAGTTTTGTCTAATGAATCCAATAATTATTTATAGCAACTTTAACTCAATTAAGGAAAACGTATTTAGAGGATTTGGTACTCATGGAGTTGCTCGACAAGGGGATGCAAGCCCCAAAGATTCAAACCGCTACAAATTACATTGTATTTCTCTTTTACGGCGTGTTCGGCAAAAGTGGCTGGTAGCGTTTTGTTGAACGCTACATTAGATAGCTTTTAGATTTGAAACATTTTGTTTAAACTAACACTAAAAGCCTGTAGTGTCAAACAATATTTTTTGTTCAAAATGGAACGTTTTGTCAAACGCCAGAAGCTTCCAAACGCTCCGTGCTATTATTATTTGCATCCACTATTTGTTTTGATTGTCCGTCTCCTCTGAGGTAACTACTTTTTTAGCTATATACTAATATGTTTATCATCGATCTTACTCATAGGATGTCCCACATCACATGATGCTAATTACATTTCATGGTAAATTATTGAAATTGAAAAACGTACATCAATTTTTTCTGAAAAATATAAAACCAAAAACCATATTGAATGCTATCCATCTATTTCCCTTTTAAGTATAACATTTTTTATATAGCTTATGCCTAAAATTTAGAGGGTTAACATTAGACATGCAAAAACTAACATGCTACACCAGCTTGACGTGAAATAAACAAGTTTCAATATTATATTCCACCGGTTTAATTAAACGTATTGATGTGACACGCATATCATCATATATCTTCACTTCATCATCATTTACTTTATAGGAATTAATATTAAAACTCTGCATTTCAGTTGTACCTCCGCAAGTTCTACTACCTTCAATTTAATTTTGTCATATTCTGATATTAACATTTCCGCAAGTTCTACTACCTTCCATTTAATTTTGTCATATTCTGATATTAACATTTCTCCTCTTGCAATAGTATAGATCTATCGCCTCTTCATCTAAATACTCTAACATTACTAAACGAGTAAGTTACTTAGCACTTCACAAATCAATACCTAATTTCATAAACCTAGTCATGTATGTTAAAATCGGCTTAACACACTATGAAATTATCGTACTGATGTGATAGAAGTCAATTGTCACTTAGTATTATTAAATAACATGTCACACATCTTGTATATGGTACATATAATCTCTTAATACAACACTCAAACTGCATACTACATCGCAACGAGTATGCAAAGAGAGACGACAAAACATATATCCAAATCTGAGAGACGATATATATATATATATATATATATATATATATATATAATATATTATATATATATAATATATATATATATAGTCACATTGTAATCGGCCTGTGACACACTCCATCTACTAAAATGTCGCACGTCCTCGTGCGATGGTAGATGAACTTTTGTCCCTTTAAAATGACATTTTTTCTAATGTCAAGTACGATCGCACACCAAAACACTAGATCCCAACCCTTATAATTCAAGTCGGAATCTTCAGCATGTGGTCACCCCCATACTTCCTTTCAGGGAGGCGGAAAATTCATCGGCAGGTCGACATTAACTTCGCAGCAACCCACCAACTATTTTGTACTTCTACGGACCCCACAAAAATGTGCTACCATACCGGCATATCCTTATTTGATTGGCTCTGATACCACTTGTCACGGAATCAAGTTTGACATTACTTTTTGCTTGTGCAGCTTATTGAGGTCCTCCATAAAACCTCGATACTAGCTGAGATTGTCATATTTATACATATTTTTATAAGTTATTTCATTATATTTTAATGGTATTTTGGTCTAAATACAAGGACTTTTGGTACTTATTTTCGTAAATTACATATTTTAGCTAGAAGAAGACATTTTTGAAGAAAAGGGACCAAAATGGACAAAAACTAGAAGTTGGAGGGTGAAGTTTGCGAATAAAGAACACTGATGCCTCATATGTGTGTCTCAGGACGATAACCACGACATGGTAAACTCTGGCCCACGTCGTGGCGTTTGGAAGATTCCCGATTAGAGTAGATTGCCTTGTCGATTACGATAAGGAAGCAGTTACCACAGCGTGGTGGCGAATTTATGGAAATTTTTCCTCCAATATAAAGGACGAATTAGAAGACCATAAGAACGAGATATTTAAGAGAGATTACCTTTGAGAGACCCTAGAAAACTTGATTTCGACCAGAAGGAATAGAGAAGAAGAGTAATTAGCAAGAAATCGACTTAAGCACTCGGTTTGCTTAATGTTTGATTTAATCTTCTATTCAAGTAGTTGTTTTTCTATTATAATCATGGGCTAATACCCTTAGCTTTCATTTAGTGAATATAAACCTCAATTATTATGAGTTAATATTAGATCTATGTATTATTAATGTTGGTTTTTACTTGTGTTTGGTAGATCAATCATTGCATGTTAATGCTTCTATCTCTATTACCTTGACTTTAAATTGTGTGTAGTTAACTGGGCATTCATTGCATGAATTTGTATTCCTAGTAGTTTATGACCATTAATTGCTAGAGATAGAGATTGGCCATGTCTTAGTATAGGTAATAAAGTTAGTTGCTTAATTGTGTTAGAGATCATTATTTGACCATAATAATTGCTAGTTTGTCCGAATTGACCATAGGAAGACAAACCTAAATCTAGTCATTCATAGTCCAAACATTAAATAAAATCAATTTTAAGTGTCCTTAGTCTACATGACCATTGTGATTAAGGTTCATAAATTGAAGTAAGCTAATTGGTCTGACCATGACAGTTAATGATTAGTAACCAACATAAGTAATCCATAATCAAAATTACTCATAGGAAAGGAAGGGGATTCGAAGCTAAACGAAAGTGTCTTAATTTTCTGGTTATAACTCGTTTTTAGTTGTTTTCGAGTTAATAGTTAATTAAGTTTTTATGAACTTGAAAAATCAAATAAAAAAACCTCTTGTCATTAGTTTTTATTTTAATAATTAGATTAAGTTTTAGCAATTTTAATTTCCAAATTGACTCATTACCCTGTGTTCGATCTCGTACTTACTTTACTACACTACTATGTTACTAGGTACACTGCCTAATTTGTGTTTTAGTTTAGTTAAAGAGATAAGGGTTATAAATTTAAAGCTTTATAAGTGATAGTATAAAACGCATCAAAGTTTTTGGCTCCATTGTCGGAGAACGACTGTTCATTTAGAGTTTTTATTGCTATCAGTTAATCGATCATTTTTTTGGGGTAAAAACCACATAAAGTTAATTTTTCTGTTTAAATCGGTTTTCTGTGAAGGTAGCGACCGCGGTGTGGAAATTCATCCACCACGGCACGGAAAACTGGCATAACAGTTTTCGATTTATTTAGTTTTTATTCGTTTTATGTGTTTACTTTTGTTTTGTACCAGTAGCACATGATCTAGGGATCTAAGTTTTCAATTGTGCCACCACTTGATGATCCAGAATCTGTATTTCACAAGAAAAAGGATAAAAAGGGTGAAGAATCAAGTAGAGGTTTCCAGTCTGATAAATTTTCAACCAGAAGACTTCAGATAAGAAGGGCAAATGATATGAACCAGAAACAGGAAGTGATTCAGACATAGACGATATAAGTGAGAGAGGACAACCCGATAACACAATGGGAGGAATAACGACAATGACGATGGAGGAGTACAAGAGGGCATATATGGGATGATGTTGGTCAAAGCATTATGACACCATAAATTCTAGCCAGGGTGAACTTCGAACTTAAGGGACATATCCTAAACATGCTAAAGGATATTCCATTCTTTGGAAATAATCATGAAGATGCATACAGGCATATTAAGGAAGTTTTGGAAATAGAAAAATTATTTCAATGTGCCACATGTTTCTAAAGATGCAGTCTTGTTGAGAATGCTTCCAATCATACTAAAAGACGCGATAAAGGATTGGTTGGAGTCACTAGCACCAGGAGCCATCACCACATGGGATAGCATGAAAGAAG